GAAGCGACGACAATGCACTTGTGCTTGTGCGCATCACGTGAACTGTTTTACTCTCATTTCATTCAGAAAATCGATTGTTTTGCGGTCGTTGAATGTAGATTTGGATTTATGAATTGTTTTGTTCGATTGCGCACCCTCGCCTCTTTAGCCAAATAGTTCATCTCTGTTTTAGTTTTTTTTATCTCCGTTGCTTGTTGGTTATGCAGAATGAGTTCGCGCACAACTTGACTGATGATGCATTTTTTTTCATGAGGCTGAGAGTATGCGAATTTGCGCGCCATCAACTACCATATGTGTATTACGTTTTACATTACTTACATTTGACGCCCCAATGCAAGTTTACTCAACTCTCGTGCGCGCGATTTACATTTTAGTGGATTTTGTTGGAGTTTAGTTGGTGTTTTTTTTCTCTGTTCATTCCATCTGCTTATTTCGAATTGCTATTAATTCGATGTGCGCGTGTGCGCACTAGCATCTGCACCACACCGCGAAATCGATCTCGCATGAATGAATAAAAGTCGACTATGTAAACGAGCACGTAAAATTGTACATTTCATTTGAAATGTTGCATTTAGACAGAGCTGAGCGCAATAACAATAAACCCGAACAGTAGTCAGATGTGAGAGATTTTTTTTATTCAGCTTCTTTTTTTTGCACTCTAAAGCTCTAAATGTGGATGCTATTTAAGATAGGCTCTTTTTTGTTCGTTCGTTCGTTTAAAGTGGTTGCCTCATCGCTTCACTTAAAAAAAAAAGAGAATCCAAAATCCCAATGCACTGAAATTACTAACGAATTATCGTGTAATTTAATTACAGTATCTGTTTAATTTATTTATTGCACATACGAGGCGAAGAATGTGAATAATCGCGTTCGCTGACTCGCTTGCTGCTGTTGCTGCGGCTGCTTCGGCAATATGCCGTAATAATCACGAATCCACAAATATCATTCGGGTGCCTTAGTGGCGATATCACAGGATCGTTTATTTGCTCTCAGATGTGCTTTTTCATCTTGTATCGTCTGCAACGAACGAAATCCATTCCGCTTCTCACCTGATCAATTGTAAGTGAACCGTGTTTTTTGTGCGATTGTGCTCTGCATTTTCTGCTATTTAATTGCGTTGCTGATTGATTTGGCTTTTTGTTGTTGAAATTGGTTTTGAAAACGGTTTTTATTTCTTTGGCAATTTACTAAAAGGGGATCGATCTTCTTCACAAGCACGCGGTAAATTAATTTTCTTTTTTCCACTCTGTGCAATAGCACATCGATGTATTAATTTCATTCGTTACATTGGAAAAAACACTTTCCTTCAACGAACTCTTAACAGATGATAATCGAAGAAGGAAACAATTTCTGATGCATTCGATTGAAGATGATGATGGTGCTGCTAGGGCTGTTGCTACTTTGAAATTTACGCATCAATGGTAATGTGAACACATCAAAAATGATCATTTTTCTGATCGTCTTCGTGCGATTATTTATCGTTTCGCATCAACAATAACCATTTCTGGGTGAGAAGAGATCGTCGAATCACTTATAGTCACAAAGACTTTGGATGTGATGCACAAAATGGTTTAAATTAATGAATTTAGATAACAATCTGATTGTTATTCGCGTGAGTGATGAAAGTTTTATATTTCTTGCAGTTAAATGATGTACATCGAAGATTTGTAGAGAATAACAAAATTCGTTAGTTTCAGCGAGAGATGGCATTTTTGAACAAAAATTTCGCCAAAAATGAAATCATTATGTAATGGAAAAATGTGAATTTAATGACAAATCCACAGCTTATCACTCAGTATTTTTCTCGGTGTTGGTTTGTTGCCATTGTCACCGAATTTTCAATTTGTCGCTCTCGAAATCTCTATTTAATTAGCGTTAGTGCGTTTTAGCCGCTTTAACATTAGCTCATTTGCCGGCACCTTGACCGTATTAACGCGGAGTGATGTCGGCGTGTGGCGACACAGTGTCAATCAATAAAAGATTATAATAAAAATGTAGACTATAATAGAAAATGTATAACAAAACTGAACGCTAAACGTCTCAATGTGTGTTGATCCACCCATTTGGCGAATGGCAATACCATTGAATTGGGTCTAATGACTCAAAACTGTGGTATGCTCTGTGTATCATTCTTTTATTTCGAAAATGGTAATAACAGCTCGAAGGTGCACTCACGCAAATCATAATTTTTCGATCTCTTCGCCGTGTGTGTGTGTTTTTTTTATGGCAAACGAAAAAAAAAACTAATTCAAAATTGCATTCATAGCGGTTCACACACACGCGCTCGCACGTTCGTTCACTTGAAATTATTCTAATGCGCATATAATTTCAATAAATTCATGTCGAACAATAAAAATGCGCTTATAAAATATGATGAATGAAAATGAGCGATTGAGATTGTGTAAAGAAAAATTTGTGCAGCGAAAAAAAGGGATGATCACGTAATGGATTTTGACGAGCTATACATATTCGATTTTCCCACATGCACAGACACTATGACACCAAATACATACATTTTACAGAAAAAAACATTTGGAATCGAGTTCATCGCATCTTCTCTTCAGTCTCAGTTGAAAGTGATGCTTCAAACCAATTCAAGACAAACCATCCATAAATCATCGAAAAAGGAGTGATATTTTCTTGCATTTGTTTTTCCATCTCTTTTTCATTCACCAGCGCAAAAATTGAATGCCAGACATTAAGCGCATTCGTGCGTAAATTTCACTACAAATCATCATATCGTTCCCGGTGCTATTCACTCGAGCAATGATGGAGCGAAGAAAGAAAAAACAAACTTCATCAGTTTGTGCGCAGTCGATTCAATTACATTTAATGTCTAAAATCCATATATCTCTCTCGCATTAAGTTCATTCAATGCTGATGCAATGACAGCAGCAGCAGCAACAACACGAACCGAACACTGAAATAAGCAGCAAAAACATATTTACACGCATGTAAACCTGCACACAGTTCACATGCAAACAAACATCGACAGTGCACGGTTATATTGACTTTTGATGCTGTCGAGATAGAGGGAGCAAAAAGAGAATGAGTGAAAGAGAGCGCGCGTTTTCGTCTTGGAGTTTCTCGTGAATGCATGAAGCAAGCCACCAGAAACAATATAAAAGTCACACACTACGAAATCGATTAACACAGATAGAGCTACAGAAGCAAAGTACTTTCTGCTGTAGCTAAATCTCATTTGTTGTTGTTGCTATTATGAAAAGTGCAATGTGATGCGTTTTCCTTGTTTGATATGCATTTCGTTCTTGTTTGTGAATGGTAAAGCACGACCCGAAAGAGACAAAGATGACAAGATTGCCATGATATTTCTTCATCGCTCAAATGGTGCTGTTGTTGTTTGCTGATGAAAACATTTCGCGAATCACTTGCGAGCGACCAGTTCAAGTGAACTGATTTCGTGGTTTTTTTTTGCTCAATCAGCCCAGTCTTTTTATTTCATGTTTTTTTAATTCATTTGTTGTGTTTGCACACTCGAGATCTCTCGCACCAGGAGCTGTATGTGAGTGTGTGCTCATTGAGACGTTCATTATGGACAAACCTCATTGCATTCCATCTTCAACCACACATTCAACCATCATCAGTACATGACACATATTATGCAATGACGACAAGAAAAACCCACAAATAACGATGATTAAAAATGAATAAAAAAAAGCGAATCTAATGAATGAAGAGAGCAAATTCGTGTAATGGCCACCTTGAATGCATCCGTTTGCGGACAGTTCGATTTCAGTTTTGTACAGTAATACTTAATTACTTTCAAAGTTCGTCGTCGTCGACAAAAATTTGCTCGAGATCTATTCTTAGCAATAACCATACTCAATTGCACCGCATATTTCACATCAAAACTCGTCTGTCATATTTTGCTCTCTTCAACCAATTTGTTGTTGGAGTGTTTTTTCTGTTTCTCCTTCTAGCACGACCAATTTGCTTGTTTGCACACAACAAATTACATGATCTATACTCGGTTCCTGATTGTTAGCTTGTTGTGGTTCACATTCTCCTTTTTTTATCCGAACAACAACCACTTACCACTTCACTTCTTGGTCGATGGCTTTTTCCAACTTACGACACATGTCAAAAACGGTTTTTGTCTATATTTTGATTGTTAATTAAAGTTTCCAGTCTTCGGTTTTTTTTTTGCTTCTTCCCAGCAGATCAGATTTTCATCCACAACACATCGGAATTTGATACTGTGTGCAATTTGGTTTTTTTTGTAAACGCGAGACTATGAAAATATTTCACACAGAGTGGTAATACAAACCTGTAACACACAAAAAGCACCAAAATGGCAACAAGAGAATTGTTGATTATATTTTGTTTCGTTCGTTTATGGTTTACAGAGCATATTATCTCCTTTTTAGCAATCGTATTATATCGTTTAAAAAGCGCGTAATTAATTGAAAATGCCCAGAAAATATTTCGCGTGAATTTCAATTTCAACGAAGTGGAGTGTGTTTGTAATGCCAAAAAAAATTGTAAATAATAATATTGCCGGGGCCGAGTAGAGCCGAAAAACGAACTTCAATTTTATTTTCGCGCATATTCCAACTGCTTTGGTTCGTGGCGTTTTTCGTTAATTGAGTGATATAGCGAGAGCGAACGCGTATAATTTTCATCTCTCACACACGTTGACTCCATCGTTTTTTCGCACAATTTAAAGTCACAGCGCACGCCACAGATCTCTCAACGGTCTATTGTTATTCGAGTATGAATGAGCTCCACTTTGTCGGTGTTTAAATGAAATTGAGCCACGGTCAAAGCAATGAATCACATAAACAATTCATACATAGCGCCCCAGCGTGCTTAAATTCGACACAACACTTTGGCTCTTTTTTTATGGCCACAACGGTATTTGTAGTTTTTAAGTATGTTTTGCTTCATTCAAGAAACACGAATTCTTGACAAATTCGTTTGCAGAAAGAAAATTTAGCTAGAAAAATATGATAAAAAAGCATAAAATATAAAACATTTACCTGGTTGAATACATAGTATTAATCCAAGTATGAAATATATTCCGAATGGCAGCCTCATTTTCACTTTTTTCTCTCTGTGCAAACTACTGTCTTTGGACGTTTTCGCCGTCGTCGTCGTCACCGTTGCTGTTGTCGTCTTATCGTCTCTCTTCTCGGTTCCGCTTCTAGGTAATGTTTTTTTTTTATTTCGTCAGTTCAACTTCTTTTATTTTTGTTACTGTTTCTTTTCGCCACGAATTGAATTCTTATAGTTTTGTTTGCATGAACTTCAGCTTAAAAAAAATTTCTTTTCGTTTTCTTTCACTTTTTGCTTGCCAAAGAGTCTTGCTCGATTCACTTGTTTTGAATCGACAAATCTTACGGAACGTTTCTCTTCTGATCAACACTTTGTTTTTAACTCGTTTTGTTACGATTTATCAGATGATTTTCAATTTGTGCACTTGATTTAAATTTGTCGATTTTTTTCTCTCTCTCTCGTCTTGTTGTTGTTTTCAACGTCGATGACAATCGTTTTTTCTCTCTTTTCTCTTCTCTATCTTTCTTTTCATTTGTTTTTCTCATTCCTATTTAGTAGCTGCATGTTTGTTGTCGCTTTCAGTGTATTTATTCAATTTCTATTTCAATGAAAATGGATTTTTTTCAGGAGGAAAAAAGAAAAATTAAATTAGACACCAAAAATTGAAAAAAAAGAAAGAAATGAAAACAGCCGAAAAAAGATGAATGAAAATGGCCAAAAATTTGCCTATGAATTCGAAATTTACATATTGAGTATGTTCGTATGTAACGTTTTTTTTCGTTTCGCATAAAGCGAATTTATTGGATGAATTTTATTGGAAAGAAGAAACTGTATCCGCCTAATTGAGAGTGAATAGCGGAAATAGATTCGAAATCGGAAGAAGTGAAAATGTGTGTGACTATTGATGCAAATTGAAAATGTGTATTTTTCTCTTTGGTCGAATAAAGCGCCAATAAACAGGGCCACCGATCAATCGGAATTTACATCTTCCTCAAAACTAACGCGCATACACCACGTCGAAGATAGATACACCATAATTTATGCAATTACAAAATGTGCTACAGACAATTAGTTTTTTTCTACATTTCTGTTGTTTCTCGTGTGCATGCCATCGAAATAAATGTACTTGAAATCGATTGAAAAAACCAGCAACAATAGCAAACACAATGTGTGCACAGGCACAAAAATCAATTGGCAAAACCAAGAGCGAAAATAGAAGATCGTTTCTTTCCTCGATCATGCACACATGCACATCGTTCGTATTTATTGATTTTGTTTGTAATTTCTTCTGCGCATCTAAATAATTCATGTGTTACGCGTCGTTTCTCTTTTGAGCCAAACGAGATATAATAATAAGAGACTGTTCAACTGAATGATCCAAAATCACTTAACAAAGCAAAAACACACACACACTCTCCACGTACACTCAATGCACATTTTGCTCTCACAAAACATATTCGTTAGAAGATGCACTCAGTCATATATGCTTGGTTAATTAAACGCATGCCATTGGTAAATTAAATCAAAATCCAAATCAAACAAAACCCAGAAATAACGAGATGGATGCAAAAGAAGTGCACACAAAAAGAATTGCATCAAATCTGTGAAGAAGAACGGCGCAGTGAATTACACTTAGTCATTTTCTGTTTTTTTTTTTCTTCTTATTTTTCACAAGACAGTATACTGAGTAATTTGTCTATTCTTTCGATTTTTTTTTAAATTCGTTTGTGCTGAGAGAAAAAGCACAAACTGTTAGACTTTATTGCGTTCTGTGAACAAACAATATTTTTATTTTCTTCTTTTGTGGTGTATGGTTTCGCTGTCGACGAGTTTTCCCAAGTTTTCGATTTTCTATTTCCTCAATTCACACATCGTCTGCTGATGAAGTCGAACATATGGGAGGTTATGTGAAATCGACAATATATTCACGGTTCTTTTTAATCAATCTTCTTCTCATTTCTGAAATTCTTTTTTCTCTCTCTATTTCTCTTCATTCTTTCTCTGTCTCAGTTTAATTTGTTCAATCACTTGTCTTTTTAACATTTCAAAAAAAAAACTTATTCACGTTTCAGTTTTCATTTTGTATTGTTTACATTATTTTTATTAAAAAAAAATTCTACAACAGTTCAAAACAAAGTTTCTAAATTGAATGCCACAAAATAATGATCGGATTTCAAAACCAAAAAAAAAAACTATGTATATATACAAAATGATGAAACCACGCATTTACGAAAATATATAGTAGTTGCTTTTGAAACTAGTTTGTTTAAAAAAGGCAAAGAAATTCACATGAATATTGGTTGGTTGTGTGTTATGCGAATATGAATATGTGTCTGAAACGGTCGCCACTGAATTCGTTGTGAGTGCTTTGCAGTTGAGCACTTTTCTTCGACTGAATTTCAAAAATCGCTTCCACACAACATCAAGCAATCACTTTTTTTTTGCAGAATTTGAGCAAAGTCAATATTGGTTAGCTTGCGCCAAGCGTTCCGTGTCTGCCAATGCGTTTTATTTGCTGTTGCTGCCGTTGTTATTACCGTTGCCTGCTTGGTCGTTGCGTACACAAGTAACGTTACCTCTCTCAATCAACAACCACTGGTAACGTTAACGGTACCAAAATACGCGCGCCCGATCAAAAGTGAATGAGAAACCAAAGTGTTTGCTTTGAATGAAAATAATCCGCTGCTGTAACACACACACCAGCAACCGATCACGTCGGAGGAGAAGTAGCGATCGTGCAAAAAATAAATTGGCTTGGATTAGTCTCAAGAAACGGACGGATTTGGAGGGGAGCATATATTGGTGTAGCTTTGCCGCACGTACAAACACGTGCCTGTTACTCCGCATTCGTAACTGAACCGCAAAACTAAGTCAAGACAAATGGCAAAGTAAAGCAAAGCCAATGCAAATGTGAGCAAAGCGCAAATCAAAAGTAAAGCAACCGATCGATTTTGGTGCTTTACTGTTATTGTAGTCTGCATTCGATGCACAGACACATTCTGCACTCAATCTCAACTCTTTTGGTTCGTTCGTTATTTTTGGAGTCGATTTCATTGTTGTTAATGGGCTTTTTTCGGACGTAAGCTTCAAGCTTGAACTATTATTTTGTGTGCACTACCAAAATACCAACACAATTTAAAGGAAAAAAAATGCAATTTGTACACAAACATTTAATGGTTGCATCGCATTTTATCGTATGTGTATGAGATCCGTTTCACTTTATCGATTCGCAATTACATGTAATTGTGTTTGCAGAGCATTTTTCCACGTTTGAAAAACACATTACTGAACATATTTCACAGTGTGTATGCGTGTGCGCGTGTGTGTGTGTGTGTGTTTGATCGAGTCGATTTTCAGGTTTTTGACTTTATTTTCAACTCGATTTATTGTTATTCGATGATTTTGATGTTTACGATTCCATTTATTTTGTCTATTCGTTGCGTGTGCATTCAGTTTGTCGGACAGCCGCCGTAGAAACTGAAACCATATCGACATCGGTAGTAACATTTAAATATTGGCATCTGACGATCATGCAAGACCTTCCCAAACGTGCATTACCTTCTTGTTGTTTTTTTTGCTTCTCTCGTTGTTGTTGCTGCTCGTGCGAGATTAAATTCCAAAATTGCAATTGCGTGATCCGAACCGAGAAAACAAGAAGAAGAAGAAGGAAAAACGGCTCATGATTTCAAGCATGTTTAAAATGCATTGCATTTGCAGTTAATTGGTTGCTTCCACACGGCAATGTCATTGGATGCTCTTTTCATCGACAGCGTTGGCGATGCGCGTGCGAAAGGGATAGATATGGACGATGTTGTCCATGCGTTCATGTGAATCTCACATATCATTTTTCCCGAAACGTATACATTTAATCTATTGTTTTATCTCTCATGAGTTACGGTGCACCGGACTTGTTTACATCGTGTTTTATCACTATGTGTTGCCATTCTCTTCAGCCATCCCCGTCAGCCAGCTGCTGCTGCTGCATCCACATGAAATTCTATGCTGTATGAATGCATATTCGCCATATGTAAATTAGCAAAAATTGTTTTGAACATTCTTTTCATTCGGATTTCGAGCGTATCGTATTGACACAAAACAAAGATAGATTCGCCATTTGAGACTTGTTTACACTTTTCGACTTTGTGCATGCAGTGTTCGGTGCAGTACCTTCATTTTGCGGCTAGAATTCCGAATAGACCATGAGCAAATACAAAGCAATTAAAATGGTGTTTTTATTTTGTTTTGTTTTATTTGATTGTCTGTTTGTGACTGTGCGCGCGTTCAAAATACAATTCATGTTTTTCTCTCTGTGTGCTTTTGCACAAAAAAATAACGCACGAATGGGCGTGCGCGCGAGGAAATATACAACAAACAAACACATAATAAATCTCTTCGTTCTCCTGACAAATGCCACAGTCGCTGTTCCACCGAAGACAAGCACATTTCGGAAAATTTATGCGTCTGTCGAAGGTTACCGCTGTGGATTTCTCATATGTAAATATGCATGCATCAAAAAATCCGTTTTTTTTTCTTCTTTAATTTGCTCATGTGTAATTTGGCCATGCTAATTATAGTGTGGAAAATGAAATACAATTAAAACACACACAATGATTTCGCTTTTTTTTTTCTGTTGTTCACTTCATTTTTGCGAAGAAAAAAGAATGGGATTCTTGAAAGGGAAAAATAAAAACCGCGCGACCACATATCAACTGTTAAATTACGGCTACTTGTTGTGTCACGCGGGATCAATCAACCTTTTGAAACCAATAAAAAAGTACTGTTGACTTTATGATGGCTATAAATCAGAATCTAGTCAAATATTGAAGTCATTCCGTTGGAAATAAATCGCACAGAAAACAAAGACAAGCACACATGCCAGTTGTGTCTGGTAGACTTTCAATTTCAAATCTCTGGGTAATTTTTATCGCTTAATTTCATATTTCGTGGTCGAACTGTGTTGGCACATGTCGACATGTCGAGCGATCAATGAACAATTGTCACCGCAACCAGATTGCAATACACGCCACAACTGTTTCCTTGTTGCGCAGAAATTGCATGCAGATTGACAATAAAGGTGGATAAATGGCAGGCAAACGTGCAAAAAAAACCTTAAAACATACACACATGTAATTGACGTATTAATCATTGCATTGAACAATGGAATTTATGCGCTTTTATTGCGAATCACGCAAGAAGAAATAAAAAACCAAACACCGAAACGGAATCGAAAATCGCTCGAAATCACAATCCATTTTAACGTGAAAGATTAATAAAAAATATATAGTCTTACAGGAGTACGACGAACTTTTTCGCGCAGTGGTAGATCAATAGTTACTCTTTGTACAGATTTCAATTGTGTGATTACAACAATTTTCGCGAACTCTGATGACACTTTATACTAATCTACATTCAAAAAGTTACATTGTTCACATTGGAACTTACAAAAATTATTGAGGAGAAACAGAGAGTGTTTTTGTCTTGGGGCGATTCAATTCAAAAATTACTTTGTCAATTATTTCGATTATCGATCGATTCTTATACACATTATTTTTCGTTCTAACACCAAACGTTGACTTTTATATAACAGTGTCGGAGATCAACAAGAATGCACACAAAATCGAAAACGAGATCAATTCTAGTCTCAAACCTTTGGAAAAATCCTCAGTTAAAATTTTAAAACCAATTTATGAAAATGAGATTTTGTTTTACTGTAAACAAATTATTTCAAGTATAGTTTTGATATTTTTGCTGGGGATTTTTTTAAAGAAGAAGATCCATGATATCGTTATGATGTGAAACGATGCACAGGATATTCAATTCACAAAAAATAATATTCTGAAAGTTTGAAGAAATTTCAATGCATATTGAGGGTACCTTCATTCGGGTTTGAGCCAAAAATTCAAATATATATGACACCATCAAAAGCATCTAATGAGCGATATAAGAGGCCTAAACAATGGGTCAATATGTTTTTTTTCTATCAATAAAAATAATTACTATTGGTATTTGGCAGTTATATGCTATCCTTCATTCAATATTATTGATCGCATCAATTCATCACAATCAATCAAGAAATCTTGTATATTGATATTCGATTCATTGTCGAGAATAGCCAGAAAAAGTACCAATTCTTGTACTTTGAATATAAAGAGAGTGTGACAGACGGGTCATATAAATTTGATGAGAAAAATATTTCTGAGTACAGCGTTAAAGCTACATATCAAGTGAATTAACATGACTGCAGATTTTTCGTGTTGGCCTACATCGAACATTTTTTTTGAGCAAGAAATATTAAGCATTGTCCAAAACAAGAAAATGAATCGTCGATTATTCAGAATTCGATAAGAACACACCACCAACACATGACAAGAGCATGAAGAAACATTGTCTGAAAACGACATATTTTAGTAAAATGTGAATACATTTGTATGTTCTCTTATGGAAAAATCAGTATCGAATTGCTGAAACTGTGCGTTCGAGCAACTCTACCGTCTATTTCTTCCATAAGAGAATTCATCTCAGACAGTGTAATAAAAATCGATTTCGTTTTGATTTTATTACAACACCTTTTGGGATTTTGTGTGTTTTTGTTTTAAAGATTACTGATGCATTAAATGTTAACTGTAGAGTTAAATGGGGGATGACGAGTTAAGAAGGGGATGAAAGAAAGAGCGAAAGGTATATGAAGACAGCACACCGAATTGAATTTTGAGTGTAAATACAATGCATCGGTTCTTATACGACTATACGTTGAAGTTGAAAACTTTGAAACCTAACATAAAATAAATTCATTTTGACGAAGTCACCTGTGTGAAATTTAAACTGTCATTATCTATTTAGAAGACATAAACTCATGTCAAAAAATGAAATAAGTATATATTGTATTTATATTTGCAAATTGGTTTTATAAGTCCATATTTATTTGTCAAATGTTTTAAATTCACAACATCAATAGGCTATAGATATTAGTAGAACATTCTTTTTCCTTGCGTCCATCAAATCCAAGAATATTTATTACCAGAGGCCAGAAAAACAGACGAAATAAACAATGCATAAAAGCAATCAATACGCAAGATTCGTTTTTGAATTTTATAGATTTTTTTTTCTCTGTGTTATTCATTGTTTATTTTTACGGCTTCTGTGATGATTTTAAAATAAGTCGAAACGTCAAGGCGACAAATATTTTTGGTCACACAAAAAATTGTTTATTGTGTATTATACCAACTACAATAATAGAAATTCAAATGTGTAAATCTTAATATTTTGATATTTGTTTATTATTTGTTACTGTAAATGTGGGCTACTTTTCTCAAAATAATATTGTTGGTTTCTTTTTAGTTTGAT